ACTGATATCATGATGTTGTTATTATTTTCAATGTTCACATTAGTATGAGTTTCCACAGAGCACAGTGCCATAGTGCTCATTTCCCACTTTTATCATGTTTCAGGTCAGGATGTCGGGCAAGGAGCGTGACGTGACGATGGCATCAGGACATTTATGTTTTTTACTGTATATGTATATTGACGATTTACGTTTCCGCTGATGATGACTTTTGACGAACTTATGTTTTAACCGTACTTTTGGAACATATTATGCTTTCAGTATCAGTATGATTTTATTAAAAATATAATAACGGTTTTCCAAATTAAGTCACGATTTTAAGGTAGCACCCCAAATCAGTTTTCACAAAGTAAAAGGTTTTATTTTTAAATAACTTTGCGAAATTTTCGCACTCTGATTTTACGGATAAGGCGTTGTGTTACAATTGGTATCAGAGTACGTTTCTGCGTCTCTGAAAAGTTTTTCAGTCAGTAATCTTCAGAAAAACCTGAACCGTCATGCTCACGCCCCGCCAACGACAGGTAAGTCCTGATTTATGTTTTCAGTTATAAACATATTACTTTGTCTATGCTCAGAGTTAAGGATCAGGACTTTAGTTAAGATGCTCGAATCAGGTTCAGAATTTAGAATTCGGACATGACTCTAGAATTCAGGGCATTCAGATATGACTCTAGACTTTAGTATCTCTCGATATGACTTTAGAGTTCCTCAGGATTCATGTCAGTAATTAATGGCCATTTTTGGCGACTCGTCAAGAGATCTGTGTGCCTAAGTAATCAGTCAGAATGTTATCATGTATTCAGTAATGTTAAAATTTCTCGATGTTCAGATGCCGCCACGTAGGGAACCCGATCATCAGGCTCCTACTCAGGCTACTGTAGTCGCTCAGTTCCGCGACTATCACGCCGAAAAGTTCTCAGGGAAGGGAGATCCCCGCATTGTAGATGAATGGATTCAGGGCTTGGAATTTATCTTTGAGGTCATGGACTGCCCCGATAGATATCGCGTAGTTTGCGCTCAGCTTCAGCTCACTGGTGATGCTAGTCTCTGGTGGAACGCCTACTGGAGCATGCGTCCCGGTGAAAAAGCGGGTTGTACGTGGGACATGCTCAAGGAGTTAGTCCGTGAAAAGTACTACCCCTCCTACTATGGGGCAGAGATGGAGCGTCAGTTCTTAGCGCTCCAGCAGGGCACTCGTACGGTTGATGAGTACGAGCGAGAGTTCACTAGACTTGCAGCATTCGTACCGGACCTGGTTCGCACGGAGGCTCAGAGAGCGCAGCGGTTCATCGACGGGCTTTACCCAGCAGTCCGTCATAACATCGTGGGACACAGGACCCAGACCTACGCTCGTGCAGTTTCTATCGCCCAGGAGGTGGACGCTAGCATCAGGAGGGAGGCAGTTCGTGATCGTGCCCAGCCATCCGCCCCAGTTCAGCCATTCGCAGCTCCACCAGCTCAGCCAGTGAAGGAGAAGAAGAGGAAGGGGAAGGGCGCACAGACAGATAGGAGGACTCGACAGAGACAGCAGCCGATTCCACTGTGCCCGACTTGTGGACGACTTCATCGGGGAGAGTGCCATGTGGGACAGGACATCTGCTATTACTGCCACGATCCTAGACATTTTGCGAGTCGCTGTCCGAAGAGACTTCAGCAGCAGCCCCAGCAGCCTCAGCAGCCACCACAGCAGCAGCAGCCACGTCAGCAGGCACAGAGGCCACCTCAGCAGCCGCAGCAGAGGGGCAGACAGTAGGCCCGGGTTTATGCGGTTGATCAGGCAGAGGCAGCACAACAGCCACGTACTATGTCAGGGATGGTTGTTCTCAATGATATTCCTGTTTTCGCTTTGTTCGATACTGGAGCAACGCATTCATTCATATCACGACGATGTCTCGATGCCATTGGAGTTCATACCGTTACCGCTGTCGATCCTCTCGAGGTGAGTTTAGCCTCGGGACGAAAGATAGTGACCTCAGCTAAAGCCTCAGATCTTAGCCTCTCCATCGGTGGTCGTGTATTGTCTACCGACGCGCTTGTTCTCGAGATGAGGGATTTCGACCTTATTCTCGGAATGGATTGGCTATCCTTCTATCATGCAGACATCAAGTGTCATGACCGGGAGATCACTCTCTATCTTCTGGGAGACGAGTCGATTACTTTCTTCGGCTCCAGGAATCGTTCACTGCCTCATGTTGTTTCAATGGCGAAAGCCACTAAGCTGTTGCGACGAGGCAACTGTCAGGGTTATCTGGTGAGCCTTGTCAACGATTCTCAGAAAGCGCGATCACCTTATGATGTTCCAATCGTTCGCGAGTTTGTGGACGTGTTCCCAGACGAGCTTCCAGGAGGACCGCCTAACAGGCAGGTGGAGTTCTCTATCGATCTCATTCCAGGGGCCGGTCCAGTATCCAAAGCCCCATATCGCATGGCGCCTAAGGAGTTGCAGGAGCTTAAGACTCAGATTCAGGAGCTATTACGACTCGGTTTCATCCGACCGAGCGTATCACCTTGGGGAGCACCCGTTCTCTTTGTCAAGAAGAAGCACGGATCCATGCGCATGTGTATCGACTACCGGGATCTTAACCGGTTGACGATCAAGAACAAGTACTCGCTTCCCAGGATCGATGACTTATTTGATCAGTTGAGGGGAGCCTGTGTGTTCTCAAAGATTGATTTACGATCAGGCTACCACCAGCTGAAGATTAAGGAATCAGATATCGCTAAGACCGCTTTTAGGACTCGTTACGGCCATTACGAGTTCGTCGTCATGCCTTTCGGTCTCAGCAATGCGCCATCTGTTTTTATGGATCTCATGAACCGTATTTTCCATCCCTACCTTGATCAGTTTGTTATTGTCTTTATTGATGATATCCTTATCTACTCGAAGAGCCAGAAGGAGCACGAGGAGCATCTGAGGGTGGTTTTCGAAACCCTCAGACGAGAAAAGTTGTACGCCAAATTCTCCAAATGCGAGTTCTGGCTCCAGCGAGTATCCTTTCTGGGTCATGTGATTACTCAGGCAGGTATCGAGGTGGATCCTTCCAAGGTCTCAGCTGTTCAGAACTGGTCGACACCGAGGAGTCCGTCCGAGGTTCGCAGTTTTCTCGGTTTAGCTGGTTACTACCGCAGGTTCATCGAGGGCTTTTCCAAGATCGCCCTCCCTCTTTCCCAGCTGACGAGGAAGTCTGTGAAGTTCGAGTGGACTGATCGTTGTGAGGCGAGCTTTCAGGAGCTCAAATGGAGATTAACTTCAGCACCGGTGTTGACTATTCCCGATCCTTCTCGGAGTTTCACTATCTTCAGCGATGCTTCGAGACAGGGCTTGGGATGTGTCCTTATGTAGGACGGCCGAGTCGTCGCGTATGCTTCACGTCAGCTTAAGCCACATGAGCAGAACTATCCGACGCACGACTTGGAGTTAGCAGCAGTCGTTCATGCTCTCAAGATCTGGTGACATTATCTTTACGGCGGACGTTGCGAGATTTTCACAGATCATAAGAGCCTGCAGTACATCTTCACGCAGAAGGAGCTTAATATGAGACAGCGTCGCTGGCTCGAACTTGTCAAGGATTACGACTGCTCTAATCAGTATCATCCGGGGAAGGCGAACGTCGTCGCAGATGCCCTAAGCCGAAAGGTGAGGGGTGACTTGACGTACGTCATTACTCAGCAGAGTCCGTTGATTCAGGAGTTTGCCCGGATGCAGCTTCAGGCTATCGATGCACTTCCCATAGCCATTTCGGGGAGTACCAGTGCCAGTGTACCAGTGCCAGTGTTAGTGCCATGCAGCTTCAGCCGACGCTGAGAGAAAGAATCCGGCGAGAACAGGCTTCTGACGAGTTCATTCGTGTCATGGAGGCCAAGGTTCGCGCCAGAGGCGTCGAGGATTTCCAG